GCTGAATCTCCCAGTGTATCAGTTTAGACTCCCTTGGTTGCAAAATCAGAGCCCCATTTAAGTCAGCTCAGGCAAAGGGTGGAATTTATTGTAAGGTGAAGAGACTGTTGCATGGAGAGTAGGGCAGGATAGAGTGGGCCAGGTCAGGTGGGCTTCCACTCCTGCTCCCCATTCTGCCTCATTCTGCTTCTCAGGCTTGTTCCTCACCTAGCCACAGACCGTTCTGTTTCTTAGTCTACATGGCAGAAAACTACAGCCACTTGCCACTTGTGAGTCTACAGTTTCTCTGCTAAAGGAGAGCCAGGCCAAGACTGAAGCTCATGGCCCTAATTCCATGTGACATAGGACAGACCAAGGGCCCAAATGAGGTTGGGAATCCATCCCTTGTGCAGTCAGCCATGGCCAGGAGGTTGTTAGATGGCCTGAAACCATGCTCACTGGGAATGTGGCCCTACCTGGAGATGTCTTCTAGGGCCAGCATATAAAACTACACCAGTCTCACCTCATCATTTGCCGCAGTGGGATGGGCAGGAGTTTTACATATCTGAGACTCCTGATGGCCCAGCAGAATCTGGCAATGGTGATGGTCACCTCCAGGCAAAGTAGTGAACTCTACTATAGGCCTAAGAGGTTTGCATCCTTCAAAGTCAGAATCAGCTGGAATTTTTTCTTTCTTTTTTTTTCAGTGCTACCAGTAAAAGAACAGCCCCTACAACTTCTAAGTGGAGACCTGCATCAGTGACACACAAAGAAATCTCCTCTCCACCCTACCTTGCAGCCTCTCCTGGTAATTCCACTCATTTTGGAGTCTGACATGAGAAGCAGCTGGCCCTCTAAGGTTTATGGCCCTCTGAGGCTTAAACCAAAAGGGGGCCACCTTCTAGGATGCTTGGGGCTGCATAAGAATGTAAAGGAGGTTAGTCCTGCCTATACAGGCAGGATGCTCCAAACTAAGGCCCGAAGCAGGATGACCTTCTACGAAGCCTCCTTTGTCCCAGTTTTGTCCCTTGTGCCTGGGATTGTAGAGGAGAGACAAGCCCCCAGCTCACCTTGGCCTTGGCAGGCTGGAGACACTGCCAGTGCCATGGACTATGTTTCCAGTTTCTACAGGCCTCCCAGTCTGAGCTTCACAGCTTTCGTATCTTTAGTTTTATTCTCAGCTCCAGTTGCAGCTAAGTGGTTTCCTTCTTGGGCCAGTGTTTCTCTTGTTTGTTCTCTCTCTTTCTCTTCCTTTTTTTTTTTTTCCAAGGGTCATGTGTGATTGCCAGAGAGAGAGAGAAGGAAAGCATGAAAGCACCCCCTTTGGGAAATGGCTATGCTGCATTCCCTTCTCCTCCATCTCCCTGCTGTCAGCATTTTGGGCATGCATGCACGCCACAGCGTTTCTCAAGCCACCAGGTCCAGTACTCAAACTGCACATTCAGCCATGTGGGATCCAGCCCACTCAACCACTAGGCCATCGTCTGGCATATTTGTTTTTTAAATAAAACTTTTAGTTTTCCTTTTCTCTTTCATTAAAGCCCAAAACGCCTCAGTGAAGAAATCCCTGGTACAGGCAGGATGCTGCACCCTCCTTGTGAGGTCCTGTCCTTGCTCTGCCCAGCAGTGATGCGTGATTCCCAGCAGGTCCCAGCCTTTCTCTGGGCTTCCATTTTCTCGTGTGCAAAATGAGGAATAGAGCTAGAGAGTTTGAAAGTCACTTTGGACCCCCAAAACCTATGATTTGTGAACATACTTCAGATATTTGTACCTCATACTTCAGTTAGAAAACCTTCACTGACAGCTACTTAGCTTAAAGCTGAAGATGAATGAAAAGGCACTGTTTGAGATTTGGAACTGTCATTAGACAGATAAATGTCTTGAGATTTTATTTTTTTACTTATTTTAAAATTTATTTATTTACAGTCATTCACTGTACATCAATAGAGTATACAAAATGCAATTTTCCATCCAGTACACATTGTATATTGGCTCAATCAAGGATATAACTGTACATGTTATCGTCAAGAAATAATTGTTTATTTCTTGTTTCTTATATATTTTGCCTTTTTCCCCTCTTGATTCCCCACCTCTCACCCTCTGCCAATAGCCCCCCTTCTCCCACACTGTCTCTGGTATGTGCAGTTGTTTGCCATGTCTTTTTTTTTTTCACATTTTATTGATTCACTAAAGATCTTAATTAATTTAAAGACTTTCAACAGCAAGCACAGATGATATATACATATTTATGAGGGCATGTCTGACTTTAGGCATAAACCTCAGTGAGTAAGTGAACATACTATAAAGAAGAACCTCGCTGGGGCTATATAGCTTACTGTGGTCATTAATAGGTATTAATAGGTATTTTTAAATGCATTCTTTAATTTCAAAAAAATGTTTTAGTTTTAATAGATCAAAATATAAAAATGTTAAGAGAAATTTGCTTATAACTTAAAGCCAGGAAAAAGGTTAATATTCAGTTCAAATAGTAGGTAAATGAACCCATCAATGGTTCAAGAGAAGACAAAAATCCTTAAATATTGAAATCAAAGCATCAGAGAAAATCAGTAATGTTTTAATCTAAAGTAAAAGAAATTCTATTTCACTAGTTCAGACTCATGTAATTAATCTCTCTTCTGTTAAATTTGCAATGTTACTGTGGTCCGATCTTTTCATTTAAACTCTGGAAGTTAACATTCAACCTTGGACCTGTCCCTACCATTAAGCTGGCCATTCTCTTGGTTGTTTCTTGTACTCTTATTTCTATGTGTTCAACTTTAGTTTTCCTGGTATAGCACTACCTTCACCACTTCTTGGCGAGCTGGTCTGGTGTAGGTAAGTTCTTTCAGGGTTTGTTTATCTGAGCATGTTTTTGTCTTTTTTCCCCATATGAAAGATAATCTTGCTGGGTATAGTATTCTTGATAGAAATTGTTTTTCACGTAACACTTTGAATATATTTTCCCATTCTTTCCTTGCTTGCATTGTTTCCAATGAGAGGTCCGATGTTAGCCTTATGGGATATCCTTTGAAAGTAATTTGACATTTCTCTATTGCCAATTTTAGTATCTTGTCTCTGTGGTTTTGATCAATCTGGCTGTGATGTGCCTTGGGAAAGATCTTAGGTTGACTCTATGTAGGGTCCTTTGTATTTCTTGGGTCTGGATATTTGAACGCATCTCTAGGTTTGGAAAGTTTTCTTCTACGATTTCATAGAATAGATTATCAACTTGTTAGTTTCTTCATCTTCTGGGATACCAATGATCTGGATGTTTGGTTGTTTAATGGTATCTAGTATTACTCATGTTATTCTCTATTTTTTTTTTTTTGGTTATTTTCTCAGTCTTTTTGGTGAATTTTTCTAGATCAGAGGTTCTATCTTATACATCTGAGATTCGATCTTCTGCACGATCTAATCTGCTTTTGATATTTTCAGTGGAAGTTTTGATTTCCTGTATTATAGCCTTCATCTCTAACAATTCCATTTGATTATTTTTTATAATGTATTTCTCCTCTTTCAGATCATCTTGAGATTTCATTTATGAACAGGATATGCTGGGGTGCCACATCATCAGACTTCCCTCTCACGGGAAAGTTTCAAACAATGGGCTTTTCTGCACTAAGTTCTTAGGTCACAAAGATGGAACCAGGGGGACCATCAGTTAGTGTAATGGCTATGTCGCTGGACTCCCATGTAGTCGACCGCAGTTCGAGTCCCGGACCCAGCAGCTTAAACTCACACCGGGCGCGTGTGCGTGCGTGCCCAAGATCCCGAGAGGAGAATGGAAGAGAAGGGATTGTGGCGTGGCCCTCCCCCCTGGGGGGTGATTTCTCGCTTTCTGTCTCTCTGTCCTTCTGGCGAGCACACGCACCCTATAGCAAAAAAAAAAAAAAGATGGAACCAGGAAGGACAAGTGAGGGTAGAGAATGGCATTTCCTAGAAAGGAAAAACTACAAAAGGAAGCAGTTTTTTGAATCAGAAGCGTTCGGGTGAGAAAGACTGGAGTGTAAAGGATGGAAAGCCCTGCCTGTGACTGACTCGCCTTGTGCAGAATGGGTGCCTCCAATTTCCATGTCCCTTCAGGTCAGGACAATGAAGCGAGAAGTGAGCAGGCCCTGAAGGATGACGAGGACAAGGACAAGGACAAGCCATGGAAACCAGTAGCCCTGCACCCCCAGTCTGGTAAGTGTAGGGACCAATGGTGGCAAAGGTTGTGCCTTCCCAAGGAGTCACCCTCGTTCTGAGGATAGAAGAGTCTGAGGTTAAGGAGGAAAGCCATGATTAGCCAGTCTCAGGCCCAGGGAATGATGACCCTCACCCTCTGCGATCACTCTGCGGGGTTGGCACCAGCTCTTCCCTTTCCAAGGAATCTAGTTAGGAGCTATATTTTGGAGACTCTCCTAAGAATTTTACTCCATGTTTGACCTGGAAATCACCACATTTGAAATCACATTTTATTCATTTCAGCCATTTTTTCCCTAGCTTTGTCACAGTAAGAAAAACTTTGAACTTTGATATTCTCTCTAAAAACCTCTATTCGTAAAGCTCAACGAACAAAGATTAGTGGCCCTGGGATTTAAAGGAAGGTGTGCAGACACGCAAAGCTCAAAAAGCCACCAGGCTATCCTGTACTCTCCCCAGACAGGCTTTAAATTGTTCTCCACAAACCTGACTCATGCTGATTTCACCAGACCCTGCATTTGGTGACCTTTACATTCTTTGATCAGGGCTAACATGTTTATTTTTGCTGTCCTTTTCTCCTCTTGTTAAATGTAAGTCATTTTAAAGTGGCAGATTTATTCTCCCATCTATTGGGTTGTCGGAAAAGTCATAACGTATTTTTGCATATAGAAAAAATACATGACTTTTCCGACAACCCAATAAAAGTATTACCACAATGCATCCAGGTTTTCTACTTTCATTGGCCTAAGGGAGTATATCTATGTGAAAAGTGTAAGCCCTTGTTTGAGCTGATTTTTTAAAATTATTTTATTTATCATTATTATTATTATTATTTTTAATTTGACCAGAGCAAGACATGAAAAGAGAGAAAGAAATCATGAAAACAAGCTGCCAGGTCTAGGATTCAAACCTGAAAGAGAGAAAGAAATCATGAAAACAAGCCACCAGGTCTAGGATTCAAACCGTGGGCAGCCGTGTGGGAATACAGAGCCTTTAACCACCATGCCACCTGCCGGCCCCAGAACTGATGTTAAAGAAAAAAAATAAAGACAACCTTGTAATTTTATAATTTTCACTTTAATATTAATTTTCCTGAACAAAAAATGAAAGCAGACACGGTTACCATATCTGTAGCATGGTCGAATCGTCATTCCCTTCCCCTTTTTGAAATCTCAGACCAGTGATTGGTTACCTTTTCACCTCCATCTCTGGAAGCAATGAGAAGAAGTCCTTTCACCAAGGAGCCATAGGACTGCCAGGGTGCTGGGAACCTGTACCTCTCTCAGACCTGCTGACCTAGCCAAAGGTGGCCATCTGGGGTCTGTTGCTGGGGAGGGGCCATCACACTGTAGTGTGGATTAAAGGTTTTGACAAGTTTACACGTGGATGAGGTAATGGCATAAATGGAGCAGTGGCCAACCACTAGGAAGCTCACAGAACTCGGGGGTGTGATCTTGGCCCATCCTGCCTCTACCAGCATGACCTTTGTGTCTCACCAGGAAACTGGCTTTTAATACACACAGGTGGCCACCGGTCTCTGCATACAAATCCCAGCCACCGGCCCAGAGGCCAGACTCCCGAGATCCCCCTATGAGAGTGACTTTTGGGAGTTTCTCCGGCACAGACAAGCTTCCCTGGTGCTGGCAGATCTCCATCTTGTGCAGGTGTTTTAACCTGGGGACATGGCCAGAGTACTCAGAGGTGAATTTGAAGACTAGACCATGAGAGCGCTTTGCAGCAGGAGTGTAACTTGATTCTGAAGGTCTGTCTCATGCTCACTGCTTCTGGGGGTGACCCCAGTCTTGCCTGGCAGGGAGGAGCTGAGAGTGTAAGCATGTCTGTGCCGGACAGCCCCGAGATAGGCCCCCACCCAACAGTCAGTGTGGCTGACCCCCCTCTCTCTGGTTCGTTTCAGCAGAGTCCTCTTCTCCGGGGCTGCAGCCCGTGGTGCCTCCACCTACGGATGACATCAACTCGGATGACTCCGATGATATTGTCATCGCTCCATCTCTGCCCACCAAGAAAAACTCCTCCCCCATCTAGGTCCCTCCCAATCACTGTCTCCAAAAAGGTGATGGCTGCAAGGGGTAGGATAGGGTTAAAAGACAAAGCATGTCCTAAAGGCCACAATAGAGAATTGGAAAGACAATTTATCTTGTTAGGGAAAG